CCCCCCACCCCCCACCACACACACTGAAAGTCTGTAGCTCTGTCACACGGAGCCGAAGCCAGAGGGTGGGGTTTTCCAAATGAACGTGACACATTGCTGGGACGGCCTTTTCACTACACGGGGCCTTTTCCAGCTAAGCTGGACACAAAAAGAATAACTTGAGGGAAACCCGTCCGCTAATTTGGTGCCTTGCCACGTCAGGCACCTTAACTACATTAAGCAAGCTAACTGGTCTTACCCCGTAAAAGATCTGAAATACCACACGTGACCTTCCTGTTGTGGCCCAGCTATAGGGCAACAAAATGGAAACTGCTTTTTCAAAGACCAGCAAGGACCTCTTAGTCTCTGGCCTCAAAGGGAAGGGCGAGCTTGACGGCCGATTAGCCGGGGTTGATTAGCCAAGGAGCAAGAGTGCAACTGTTCCGTACAGACCAGTAAGGAAGCCTGAGTAAGTGTGCGTTTACCTCTGGCTTATTAAGTGTTGGCAATGACGCCGAGGCCAGGCCAGGGCTGTAGAGAGGCACAGCCTGTCTCTGGGAAGGGAAGGGGAGTACATGCAACATCTACCCCAGCTGCTCTGTGCTACTGCTCTCGGCTCACGGGAAACCATTAGCAGCCACCACTTGGATTTCTCATTCGCAAGAAACTGAACTACCTATCGCTCCAGAGAGTTCTCTCCGGGATCATCAGGTAATCGCAAAACAAAACAGCACAACACACGAGACATGCTGATACAACCCAGAACCAAAAATACCCGAGAGCTCAGAAATGCTAGGGCTTCAAAGAACCACCCCACAAGGCAGGGGGTGTTCACCTACTGCCAACTCCCCGCCCACACAGCTGTTCCACGGGGAGAGGTGGAGGGGCGGGGACTGGGTGCAGAGCACACTACTGGGCAGTCACACCAGGAAGGGCTCAAGGCACAAAGGACAACAGCAGAGAGAAGAGCAGGGCGAGGTACGGGAGCAAAGGTTTCAGCCTAAGCCCTGCCTGGCTTCCATCCTGCCACCTCCTCTCCTCCCGCCTGCGGCTTACAGAGCCTCATTTTTATTTTCACCATTCAACTCCCAAAGGGCTGGTGCCAGTATTTTAAAAAATGTCTTTGCCCTGTGGGCTATTGCATCACAATTTCAAGTGACAAGTGTGTGGTGGGGGAAGGGAGCCGCCAGGGCAAGAGGAGCCATCTATCTAGCAGAGGGTGTTGGAACTGGAAAGGGGACAATTCCCAATGCAAGCCAATCTTGGGAGAGACGTTGGACCAGGGCTGAATCTGGGCAGGGTAGGATGGCATCATTTAAGCCCTCTGGGCCTCAGTTAGGGAGGCCTGGTGTTACAGTGAACTAAGCATGGGGCTGCCATCCGCAAGGTCCAGTAGCTGCTCTCAGAGAGAAAGAGGGGCTGTGCGCCCCACCGAACTTTCCGGTCTCAGAAACTTTAAGAACCGGTTCCAGTCTGTCCTAGCCAGGGTCACTCAGTATGTGCCGGGATCCACTCGCTGGCAGCGGGTTTTGTTTGGGGGTTCAAACAAAGGCTCATCTGAAAGTGACGACTGTTAGTAGCCCCATAGGAGGCACTTGAAAGGGTTCCACGAGCTACCCTAGGTGAGGTGCCCTAGTGGCACAGTGACAAAGTGCTCTGGGGCAGACTGGCCCCTCACCCAAAGATGCCCAGATGGAAACCACCAACTGGCGATCTGTTTCCAGTAGGAGCCCCACCTTGGAAAGTCCACGGGGGCAGTCCTGCCCGTACCTAGAGGCTGCTCTGAGTTTGGTTTTGACGATCCCTTTATCATCTTCATCAGGAGCCCCGTCTTCCTCCCACAGAGCAGCTGATGGACCCGAAATGCTGACCTGGCGGTTGGCAGCCCAGCACATAACCGACACCGCACCACCAGGGCTACCTACAGATTTACCGTCTCGGCCACCTACAGGGACAGGTCCACTCCGCCCTCCAGGGTCACTGCTCTCTGAGTTGGAGCGAGCTTGGGACTCCCAGGAGCTCAGCCAGAGATTGTTTCAGGGGCCCTCCCTGTGGCTCCGCTCCCTCAAGAGCCTGCTCCGCCTAAGTCCTGCAGTTCATCTCTCTCCCCCTTGCTAATCAGAATCCAAAAGGGCTCATTAAAATTCTCCCCGTCGCCAAGCCCTGGGTTATGTCAGATTTCGCCTCAGAGATAAGCCAGCCCAACTAGAGGGTAGTGAGGAGGGTTACCTGCCTGAACATGAACCCAACCTCGGAGACCTTTCTTTTCAAGCCCCGATGGTGCCGAGGACACACACAAACAGCCGGGGGCTCCTGCACCTCTCCCCAAGACTCCAAGGGTGCCTCCAGCCCCAGACTCACCTCATAACCCAGCCGGGCGGCCCGCTGCAGGAGGGTCTCACCCGCGTTCTTGTTAACAATCAGTCTTCGTGCTTCGGGTGGCATCGGACGAGACTGGGTCGTCTCCTGGGGGGAAGTGGTGCCTGGCAGCTGGGTAGACTGGGAAGCCGGAAGAAATTGTTGCAGTCGGTCGAAGGGCTTCTGCTCCGGCTTGGCTGGCGACAGGTCATATTCCGAAGTGGGCTCTGGTCGCTTGCGGAATCGCCGGACAGTCACCTGTCACAAAACCAAGTAGGGCACACAGTCAAGGCTGTGAGTCAAAATTCGACTCAGTGACAGTGACTGAGTAGCTTATAAGTCTGGGTATAAAATAAATACCCATCGCCCAGGTGACCAACCCCAATGGAAAAACACCCCTTTCCCCTTAAAATTAAAAAAAAAAAAAAAGGAAAGACATGGGCGAGGGTGTACATTAAAGAGGAGGCTTAATTTCCCTATAATTTAAACTTCAACTCTACTCTCCCCCTAGATATGTACTTCTAAGATAGGAAGGGGACTTGGGGGGAGGGATCCAGGCAAACCACAGGCACCAGAATGTGTTCCCGCAGGCCTAAGGGGGGGCGGGGGCATCAGGGCTACCTTGCCATCAGTGTTCTCCACATAGTAATCCCCTGTCAGCGGCAAGCTCCGCCTGGGCTCCTGAGGTATCAAATGCTTGGTTTTGCACAGTCTCTTCCCGGATGGCTTCTCACTGGCATCGGTGTATTTCTGCAGCAGGGAGGCAGCCTGGTGGCCCTCGTCTTCCTCAGCGCACAGCACATCTGTCTTTTGGCTTTCTTTAATTTTCTGTTGCTTGGCAGGCGGCCTAGAGGCTGGTATACAGCTTGGCTGGGTCTGTTTTTTGCCGTTTACATTGCTGGATGAAAGGCTCTTCATGGGCAGAGAGCCGGGGAAGGGAGGCAAGCCTAAATCCGGAGGGGGGTGGGCAGGAGGCAAAGGGGTGGGGGGCAGAGAAGAAGCAGGCGTTACACAGTTGTAGCCGGTGTGGAAAGAAAAGCCCATTGTTAACACTAATCACTGGAGCGGCTTTGGTTTTTTAAAGATATACCAATTATGTTTTCAAAGCATTAATATTTTAATTATCCCATATTTAAATGGCAAATAGGTGAACCCACAAAAGATCAAGTGGCAAGTTGCTTCAAAGGACCTGGGCAGGGAGGGCAAAAGCCAGCTCGTCTTGGTGCCCCCTCCCCCGACTCCCACCCGCTGGGGGTGCTGGGTCCAGACAGGAGATGGCCTGGGGTGGCAATGAGGCCACCTGAACCCCACTTTCAGCTTCTGTCTTGGCCACTGTTGTCCTCACTGCCCGTTCTAAAGGAAGTGGGGCGAGATGGGCAGGGCCTGTGACGACACTCCATAAGATTGCCTGCCACATTCTAGTCAACATTCAACTTCTATGGCCCTAACTCTAAGGCCCCCCTCTGGTACTATCTTCTGCCCTGAGCGAAGGAGTGTCTCCCATAGGAGAGGACAGTGGGGGGTGGGGTGGGGTGGGAAGACAGCCTGGAATACCTTGTTCACTGTCGTTGGATTTGAGGGACTCTTCCGACCAGCTTCTATTAGCTTTGATCTCGGACCTTTTCCTGATGGGCTTCTCTTCAGTGATGTTATTCCCCTGGGCAGTAACCTCAGGCTCAACTACCTGGGTCACTTCCTTCCTGTTTTGTCGGCCAGGTTTGCCCTCTGCTGCAGACACTTGCTGTTCCCAGCGTTCTCTAAGGTGCAGCAAGTGGCGTTGCTTTTTAGGATGGAGCCCTGTTAATTCAATGCACACCTTCAGGTTGGTCAGCTCATTATAATGTGGGTCTTCTAAGTGCTTAGAGGAACTGTTTGTCATTTCCCTCTCAGGCCAGTCATCTAATGGAAAAATAACTACAAATTAATCAAAAAGCCCCCTTCAGGGAACAATCTGTCTTATGCATCACTAATGGGGCAAGGGGGTGGGGAGGGGGGATGGTTGCTGTCTTGGCTGGAGCATATGTCACCACCAGGCCTCAGAAGTTATCTTGGGCCATCTTTGGACTTGAACTCCTACATCTGGTTTGGGGGGAGGTGGGGGTGGGGAGGGATGTGAGGGGAGGGGCAGATTTCCAAATCCCTGGGACACTCCCACTCTCTTACAAGTTTCTAAAGGGGGGAGAGGGCATCTAGGATGGGCAACGCGCCTCACACCCACACCGTCTGTCCACCTCTGGCCGCATGCACAAGCCCCCCCCACCCCCAAGCAGACCGCCACTGCAGCCAACTAAGCTCACCTTTGGAGACCCGTCTCCGCTTGGCTTTGAGCAAGGAGTCCTCCGCCATGTCATCTGCGGTGGTCTCAGTTTGGCTGCTGTCCCCTGAGAGTTTGCGTTTGCGTTCCAGCCGGAGGGTGGGGCTGTGGGGCATGTCCACTGCCGCCACCGCCACGGCCGCCGGCTCGGTGGGTGACTCGCTCAGAGGCTGCCTCTCCACGAAAAACTTCTCCACAGGAAGTTCTTTGTCCTCCTGGGGTTCGAATGGATCAAGTTTGTTGCCAGCAGTATATTCGCCTGGGGAGAGCAGAAGAGAGAGAATACATAAATGAAGAGTCCGTAAGAGCACCATGTGAAGGGAGGGTCTTCTGAGTAGCGAGCGGGACCTGGAGGCCCAAGGACATGGGCTTCAGTGGAGAAGAGGGTCCCTACCTACCCACTGGACTGTCAAAATCAGTTATCTCCAAAGGAGGCGAGATGCGCATGTACTTTGGGGCCTCAGACTCTACGGTTTTCTCCTCTATCTTTTCATGAGGGACCCATCAACACACACTTTAAATAAATAAATAAAGATTCCTTTCTTTCAGCCGCTAGATCCAATCAAGCTAAGACTGACCTGAAAATCTCTATGGAAACATCGACTCGGGTCTTCATGCTGAAGTAACTGGTAGGCTGGTGATATCATAATCAGACCAAAGACTCCCCCCCTCCCAAGGGGCAGCCACAAGGCTAACGGAGAGGGCAAGAAGCCAGGGAGGACCCAGACTGCTGGGAAGAGTGGCCTGGAATGACCCAAGGGAAGTCGCTTCAGCCCAGGCACATGTCCAGAAGCAATGCCAAAGGGCTTGTCTGTCCCCTGCCCCCCTCCCCCTCCCCCTCCCCGTCCTCGTCACACACGTGGAGGGAAAAGTCATGCCAAGGAGCGAGCTCCGTTTCTTTCCCAAGAAGGGAAGCCCTTTCCTGCTCCAACCAAGAAAGGCTCCCTAGACCCCTAGCACCTTGGGGACCCTGGGGACAGCAGTCACTTCCTTCATACTTCTGCATCCAGGAGAAATCCAGACAAGCTGCAGGTGTGCGATTCCATTTACAGGCTAAACCAGCGCTTTCCACCCCACTCACACTGGCACACCGGGCTCAACCCTTTCTGCCCAACATCACTTCCTACTTTTGTTTCACCGTAAGAACTAACCCATCAACTGTCTTGCTTTTTGTGTTCCTTTTAGTCAACAATATTTACTGCCTTTCACAATCACTGTAGCATTTCTCCTAATCCCACCGGAAAGGATCCTGCACCTCACACCACCAGTTGGGTTTGGTGGACCTTGTGCAATATAAGCCTGTTCCTAGATAAGCTAGGACCTTTCCTGCTGCACACGTGCCAATACCCACTCTTCTACCCTGATGTCCAAACTGTGTCCTTAATTCCTGGCCCGGGTCTGTCCCTGGGGGAACCCTTCTCCTCTTGGTGGCGTCACTGGCCCTCCGTGGCAGTCATTGCTGGTGGTATGTTTCTCCCTGGCCTGGGGAAGTCTGCCCTCTCACCCATGGAGGAGCGCGCCTCCTCTTCATGGAGGTCCCAAGGCAGAGGCTGGGAAAGTTAGACTGAGCCTCCCCACCATGCTATGTCCCAACTCTCTACCATCCACCATCTGGATGAGGAGCCCTCTCCCTCTCCGCCCCCACTACATCTCTGAGGTACACCTGGCCCTGGCAGCACCTGGCTCACGGTAGCCTGTCCTCAGCACGGGATCCTAAGAGACTGCTCTGTGGCAGTGGTAGTAACCAACACCCAGGCTTCCCCCCAGCTCCGAGCTGAAGCCCTGCCTAGGAGACTTTGCAAACAAGTGGGGGAGGGGAGGGGACTGAGAGCCTCAGTGCTGGGGCCGGGGACACGCACCGGCAGGCTGTGGGTTCTCATCTCGTCTGCTCTGTGACCCTCTTAACTGCTCTAGCGGTAACTGCGCCACTTTACAACCGGGCCCCCTTTCAGCTGTAAAGTGGGAATATGACGGCGAGCCTCCTCCCAGGGGTGGCCTTCGTAAGTACAAGCTAAGCAAGGCCGGGAACCGCTGTCACAAAAGGAGGCTAGGATTTGCTGAGCAGCTGGCATTTATGTGCGCCCCTGTATTTATAAGATTTCGAGCTGTGGGCCTCCTCCTAATTATGTTGCTTGCCTTCCCTGACAGCCCTGGGGGAAGGGAAGGGGAAGGAGAGGCAGCAGGGCCATGCTGGGACCATCTGAAGAGCTGTCATACTGTGCACTTTGGGCCTGGGTCTGGTTCCCTGCTTTGGGTAAGGAAAGTTTCAGGGGGCAGGAGTGGGGGGGTGGGGCGGGTGTGAGCTGGTGAGATCACAATGCTCTCCAGAGGCCCTAATCAGATGAAAAGTCAGTCTGCTTTCAGGTTCAATGCTAACATTTCGATCTAGACTTGAGGTTCCATTTAATACCCCCCCCCCACACACACACACACCGCTGTCTTAGCGTTGAATCTGACTCACACCGACCTTGTAGGTCAGAGTGGAACTAACCCCCCCGCCCCCCATTGGGTTTCCAAAGCTGTGCATCTTGACAGAAATGCAGACTGGTCCATCTTTCTCTTGAGGGGTGGCTAGTGGGTTCGAACTGCTAACCTTTTGGTTGGCAGTGGGGTGCTTAACCACTGTGCGCCACCAGGGCTCTTTAGGATACTCCCTATTGGACAGGGTAGAACCAACCCCTTTTGAGTTTCCAAGACTGTTTACAGGAGTAAAAAGTTTCATCGTTCTCCCGAGGAGCACTGGTGGTTTCAAACTGCTGACCTCGCAGTTAGCAGTCCAATTTGTAACCACTTTGCCACCAGGGAACAGTCGCGTCTGCGGTCTCTCTCAGGTTGAAGGTTTTCCACCTGAGTCCATGCTCACTGCCAATACTTCCTGCCTCACCCACCTGACCTTCTCCCTAAATGGCCAGTATTTTTTGCCCACTTATTTCACAGACCAGAATGAGCAGTGACCACCAGGCACCTCCTATCTCCCTGTCCCACAGGTCAGGCTGCTGGCTCGCTCAACAGGAGCAGCCCCTCGGAAGATAGGAGCCCTTGCTGTCTTCCCCATCTGGTAACCCACCCTCCCTCCTGGCGAGGATACTCCCTTCATATACAACTTCCGGGGCCCCCAGCTCCCGGGGTAGCTGGTGGAAGAATTCTCTATGCTGCTGACAAAAGTCTGCCTGAGCACTACTTGCCTTGGGGGGGGAGCCCCCCCCCTCCCCGCCCTGCGGTCCTCAGCTGTCCTTCCAGACCCTTCCCCTCCTCCTTCTTCACGCAGGACCCCCAGCTCGATGCCTGTGGGTCTCCATCCTAGACTATTATCAGGACCCCTCCCATGCTAAATTTGGTGCTCATTGAAATCACACCCACCCACACACATAGTTTAGCTGCTTCCTTTTCCATTTCTCTGAGAGAATCTTTTCCCAGACTGCCCCCGCCCCTACCCCCATCACCTCCCCCAAGCCATTCGCAGGAAAAAACCTGAAGGCTGGCAGCGGGTTTTCACTACAACCTCTCAGGGTGAAGGCTCAGTGCTTCCTTCCCTCAGGGAAGCCAAGACCAGACCACGGTTCAGAAGTAAAACCGAAGACCACCCAACCCCGACCATCCCAGATACACACGGTCGCCACCGCCAAACGGACAAGCAAAAGGCTCCGTGTTCGGATCCACCTCATCGTGGCCATTTCAACCAGTAACCACCCCAAAATTCCGGTTGAGGGCAGACTGGAAAGGGGAAGAGGGGTAGGCAGGGCTTCTAACCATCAGGCTCCGACATGGCTGCTACTCTTCTAGAAATCAACTAGCCATATGCCTTTGGTCCCCGGATTCTGCCAGGTGTCAGTAGCTGTGCCCTTGGTTATATTGCTCTCCCTGCCTACAGCACACTATGACACGCGCGCATGCATCCCATGAGTTATCATGGTTGTGCCATAGCATTACCTCACAGAAACATTGCCATGGCAACATTTACAAGTCACCGTGGCAACAAAGCCCAGTGAGCCCCAGACAAGACGGGAGGGTGCTCCAATGTTTGAGGGCTACCCAGAATTTTAACTCTCGTCCGGAAGGAACTATCTACCACCTCCAGCAGAAATGAACCTGGGTAAAACTCACACCCTCTCGGACGAGGCATTAGTACTTTGTTTTCCATTCAAATGGTTTATATAACTCGCAGGGGTTCCACCAGAAGTTTCCTGAAGTTGTGAGACGTCCTTGTATGGCTCCACACACAATGATCCCCCCCACACACACACTTCTCTCTCTCTCATCTACCTAGTTGTCCAGTTCCTTCCAATTGTTAACAAGGCCACAGGGGAGGGCCTCTATGTTCATGCAAGCCAGGTGGTCGGAAGGAAAAATGGACACTCTGGGCTTAAAGATTAAGGGGGCCAATTGGCTCTTGTCCCGCTCCATCTTTGAAAAGTCACAGATAGTGGCTAGTGACAAAGAGATGAGTTAACTTTCAAGTTTGCGGCTCTTCTGAATTTGTCCTTTCTAACTGAGAGGAAAGTTGCATCCCACTGCCCACACTAACATAAAGAGGAAGTGAACATCCAGATTACTGTACTTCAAGTTAACTCACTTTGGTGGGGGTGGGGGGGACATGGACAGACGACGACACACCTCAAACAAGACAGCGCCCCCGAGGCGGCAGATGTACCCACTCATGCCAGGTCCAAGAGCTTCCTCAGATGGGGGAAGGCTTCTGGGATGCGACCTATGCCCTCACGCAATCTCCACTCCAGCTCACATCTGCTCATAGTTTGGTTCTCTTGCCACACCGACACCCAAGGGAGGCATGGGAGCCAAAAGGAGAGCATGGCTCAGTTCATTTGCAGCTCAATGGCTCTAGCACCAGCTGTCCGGGCTGTGACCCGAGTCCTGGGTGAGGGGAGCATGGCAGCAGCAAGACTAGCGGGGTACTCTGGGACAAAGCTAATCGCTCATCACTGGCCACCCTGACTTCTCTCCTCTCCGTTCAGTAAGAATGAAGGGAAAAGGTAGCGGTGAGGCGGAAGTGCCACCCAAACCCAGATTCTGTCTGGCTGAATCTTAAAAACCAAAGGGCAAGGAAATTTGAGGCTGACCTGTTCCCTGCCCTCTTCTTCCTCCTACCTCCCTCAGCATCTTCCGGTCACCTCGGCCTTGTCCCATTCTCCCAAGCCTCTGAGAAACCTTTCCAAGGGCTGATATTAGGCAGCGTGTCAGATGGGAAAGGCTGCATGCCCACAGTTGGATTAAGGAGAGAGGGGGTTCTAGTCCGAAGGAGAGCTTGAACTTCCCTCTCCCCATACCCAATGGTCTGCCCTCAGTCTCCTCACTTCAGCCATTCCCAAGAGCCCTTCACACTTGGCTAAGACCACCACTTGGTAAGCACTAGATTTATCTTCTTTCAAGCTGGTCCTGTTTTGCCTTGGGAACGGAGGGAGCGAGATAAGGAGCGTGCTCTCCCAGACCACTAACGTTCTCAAAGGTCATCAGCATGGCGGGCAGGCGGGCGCACCGGTGGCACAAAGCTCTGAAATGTACCCAACCGCCCTGTCATCTCTCAGGAAGGCTTTACACACCGTCTTCTCTCTTCTTTGTTTGCCCTACAAAGTTTCAGGACTCCACAACAAGTGTTGGGCCTAAAACAGGCACATTTGAGAAACGAAGACCAAGATCCTCACCACTTACAGCCAACATGTTTTTAATCAATCCGGCAATTCGAGTGGATCACAGTTGGGGTGGGGGTGGTGGTGTGTGTGGGTGGGTGGCATGGCTGTTGGGGGGTGAAGAGAAGTGTGCTAGGTAGAGCTTTCTCTTCACGGTCCCCCTCTCAGAACGTAAGCTGCCCTTTGTCTGGGGGAAAGAACACCCGCACATATGTTATACTCTCTTGGACTCTGCTGCCAACTCCCAACGGCGGCAAACCAACCGGACGTGGTACAACAGCTGTGCTCTAGTTTCAAGGTACTCTCATGCCTCTTGATGGTATTTCAAGGGATCCTGCGCCTTTGGGGCGTGAATTCCAGAACTGTCCATTCCTCACCATGGGGGGCGGGGGTGGGGACTTGGGCGATGGGGAGGAGGTGAGGAAATGAGAAGGCCACGAAGTGCCTCTGGCTGGGAAGCATTCCACCCCTACAAAATGAAATCTGCCTGTGCCACACTTGACCTCCAGCACTGCTTGGCCTCGGCTACATTGTGTACCCTTCCCCACTAGAGGGTCGCTAACTACAGGACAATAACCTCTCAGAGATGCTTCACTCCTGGAGGACACACCATTCAAAAGGACAATCAGCTCCTTCATGGCTAGGGTAGCAAAGCAGGCCCCTTGCTAAGAGCAGGCGCCAACAGGACCCTGGGGCCATCAGAGGGGAATTGCTTCCTCTCCCATCCCCCTGGCCTCCAGGCAAAGCCCGCTAGCCTGTTCTCAACACACAAGTTGCTAAGTTTTACTTACATCTCTCATTGTCATTCTGGTCAGCACCAGTCTCCTCCAGGGTGACCAACTTGGGCTTTTTGTCCTGATTTCCTTTCAGCCTCTCCCAGTCAGCAGGGCTGAATTTGCACACCTCGGAGGAGTCTTTGGTTGTTGGGTGGCCACCTTCCCGCTCTTTCATCTCTAACTCGGAGAAGCGCATCATTGCACGCTAGAAAGAGAACAAAGATGAAAAAACACACACAAAGGCAAACATAAAACCAAAAAAATAAAAAAAGCAACCAATACCACCTTACCATAAAAGCTAGTTCCTTGGCCTTACCTTAATGGAAATTATTTTCAAAGAAAAGTTTGCCCAAAACCAACCACAATTGTAGGAGATACCACTCAAGAAGAGACTGAGAAACTTTTAACAGGTAAAACATTTAAGAGTATCGATTACATAAGGAGCCACACATTTCTAGGCAAACAGTCGTATGGGTAGGGAGAAATGTGTGGTGTGTATGCGTGGATGCATACACTATTGTCAAGAGACAGACAATCGCTTGGCAAGGTAAAGGGGAAAACAACGCAAGGACAACGCAGAGAAACAACAAAACGAAACAAAAACACAACACGGGAAAGAAAACAAAATGCACAATGAATAGAGACGACCATGGCCCACAAACTTCCCTCGGCATATTTGGAAATGAAATGTAAACTCAAAAAGGTTTATGTAAGATTCTAGTAATAAAAATTTGAAGAACTGACCTCACAGTAAGCAGCGGGTAGACATAAAATACTGTCCTCTTGTAATCCTTCCATCTATGTAATTAAAATGGGTACTCAATGGATCATTTGGATAATTTCATCCATTTTTATAAGCATAAACCAATTTTTTTCTTAACATCGCAAAAACAATTTGGCTTTATTCATCTTTTAATTAAACGTAAAATATCTTAGGAAATTCCTACACAACATCGATCATTATTTACTAGCAAGTTAAAATACATACTCTACCCCTTTAAATGCCAGCTTCCCTTTCCATTTTGGTTTTGTCTGTAAGCTTATTTATCTATAATTGACATATAGCTATTGATTTTGGTGGAAAAATTTTTTGCACGAATCCCATAGACATGCGGCTGCTAAATATCTCCACCACATATCACGTACAGCATTCTTAAAGCTGTGAAATCAAAGCAAGTGATAGGTAATCGGCATGCCCTCTCTCAGATAATAGCCTTCATAACAATTAGGACGTTAGCAGCTTGCGAGTGGAGTTTCCAAAGCTACAGAGTAACTTCAGGTATCTGCAGATGCCGGAGTCTACCACTCGCTTCCCCTTCACTGCACACACTTCGTACCTCCGACCATTACCACAGTAACTAACCACGTCTGACTGGGGGCCTGCCCTGCCAGCCCACCCCCACCCCACCATCCTCTTTTACATGATTACAAAAGAAACTGCCAGCTGCTAAGAGGCCTGCAGTTGGGGCGTGGGGGGCTCACCTGCAGTGCCCGCTGCTCTCTGCTGAGCTGACTGGAGTCCGCGTACAGTTCGGTGGTGACGCACTTGAACCGGTCACCAACGTAACCCGCGGAGTTTGCAATCCTTTTCGCCAGTTTGGATGGCTTGGGTTTCAGGACTTTGCCGTCGTTGCACTCGGCATCGTCACATCCGTCTTTGGTATAGGTGGGGGGGCCGTCCACACTCGATGGCGGGGCGCTGCTTATGCAAAACGGTTTGGGCTCCTCGGGGGTCTTGCCGAAAGCGATGGCAGGGCCATCACCCCCCAGGGCTGGTTCGAGGAACGAAGCCGTGACGGGTACCCCCAGGTTCTCTTTGTTGGTGCCGGCTGGCACATTCTCCTTGCTCAAGCTGAAAATGGACTGGCTCGGGGCCTGTTTGAATGTATAGGTTTCATGGAAGTCCCCCAGGTGGCCCAGCTCCTCCCGCATGGTGATGAAATCCCGGTGCTGCTGCAAGCCCGGCTCGGTAGGGGGCTTGGGGGGCTCTGCTGCGCTCTGGCCCACGCCCTCGGCTGAGAAGCCAGCTTTGGACACAGTTGTGTCTGGTTTTGCATCTTGTTCTTCTCGGAGAAGGTCGACGTAGACGAGCTTGTCGCTTTTGACCACAGGTTTCCCCTGATTCCAACTGGCGCTGGCCTTCAGGCTCTTGTCGGTGGGGACTTCGGCATGGAGCTTGGTGTTGCTAGCTTCCATCATCTCAGAGAACCGAGTCCGGAGGGCTGGGTCCTCGTAGCGGGGTCGCTCGTGGGACCGGGACCTCCTCTCTGGCTTTTCCTCTTTAGCGATCTCGATGGGCGTGTGCGGGATCAGCATGGGATGCACCATGCCCAGCCCCAGTGCATCTTGGTAGGTCACAAACTCAGGCCGGCCCGTGGGCAGCCCATAGGGCAGCCCAGGCTTTGGGGCCAGATGCCCGGGAAAGAGACTGCCATTGGGGAGCAAGACTGGGTGAGGGTAAACAGGTCCTTTGCCATGTAAGGAGAGGGGGCTGATGGCAATGCCCTCAGGTGCCGGGTAAGGGAGGTAACTCCTGGGGTAGGGAATGGGGGGGGACCTGAACGCCTCATTTGGAGACAGAAAGATTGAGCTGGGTGGCAGGCCATTCTCGTTTGCTTTGAAACTGGGCTCTGGGTTGCCGGCTTTGCCACCTTTGCCGCTGGTGCTGGTGCTATGCTTGGCAGGTGTGGTTGGGGGCTGGCCCACATGCTGAATGACGGATGGCGTGGTGTCCCCAGAGCTCCGGCTTGTCTTGGTGCCGTCTGCATTGGCATTGGGGGCTGGAGAAGCGGAGGCCGGCCGGCCGGCGCTTGACACAGTCCCCGAGACGCTACTGACCACGGTGTCGCCGCTGCCCATGCGGGGACAGGAAGAACTCCGTTGCTGTGGCAGGGCCCAGTCCAGGGTTTTGTTTTTCAGTGGCATGCTTTTGCCATTGTTCTCTTCGTTGGGACTTGGCCCGGGCACCACCCAGGATGAGGGAGCAGTGCTAATGATCTCAGATCGATAGATAGCACAGCCATTTCCTGGAGGAGATAATGTTTCCTTCGGAAGCTCACTTCCAGAGAGCACTAAGCCACTTGCAGCTCGGCTGTGAACTAGGACCGTGGGAGCCATCTTTTTCACGTGGTCAGCTTTGGAGGCGTCTACGTCCACCACTTTAGAGGACAAGTCCAGTGGCTTGTCGGTGACGTCTTTGGTAACCGTCTGCTTCTCCAACATAGGCGGGGAGGAGGAGCCATCTTTTCGGTCAGGAGCGGCCGTTTTCCGGGCGTGTCCGGGAACTGGCTGGGCCCCTTCGCCCCCATCGGGTGCTTTTGGGTACTTGCCATTGGAGAGCCTGGCTGCGGGGAACTCGCTGCTGACCGTCATGTATGGCTTCGACAGGGTGACTGAGGGCGAGGTGGAGATCCTGGCGTAGTGCTTGTGGAACTCGGAGTAGGTGTCTGCGGCAGACTGCGTGGGCAGGTGGACCCGGGGTGACGGCCGAGGCGAGGGGGGCAGCAGGAGCGTCGTGTCCCCTGGCAGGCCGCTGGCGACCACCGACTTGGCGGAGGGCACCCTGGGCTGTTTGCTGTTCTGGATATGCGGGTAGGCGTGTGACTCGACTGGGTTCCCAGGACTGACCCCCATCTTCCATGGGAGGCTTTTGTCTGCACAGTGGACAAGAGGCGGGATGGCGGGGGAAGCTGACGGGGTGGAGAGCCTCAGGGGCGAAGCCAAGGACGATGGGATGTGGGGGCTGACGTAGTGAGGCGGTGGCAGGTAGAGAAAGCGCTCCCCGTTGGTGCAGACAGGCGAGTAGAGTGGCTGGGCTAGGCTGTAGGACTGCTGAGGTAGCAAGGCCTTGTACATGTTCAGTGAATACTTATTTGGCGAGTCGAGGAAAGGGTAAATGGCTGGTGTGCTCCCCTCCATGTAAGGAGGGACCCAGGGCAGCCGCAGGTAACTAGCACCATTGATGTTGAGAGGGCTCTGTTTGTCGCTCGCAGACCTGTCCAAGCCCAGGGTCTCTGCCGAGGGCACAGCAGTTTTTTGTATTCCAGGCGGTGTTTTATAGATAGCACTAAAGCCGTTGGGAGGCTTTCCTGAGACGGCGGAAGCCTCTACTGTCTCCGGGGTAGTCGGTTTGAACTGCATCTCTGGATTTCTCTCTGAAGAAAACCCAAGCCCCCCTAGGGTGCTTGTGGCTGCCTCTCGGCCTTTCTCTGAGCCTAGTCCACACAAACTGGAGTAGACGATGTTTCCTGGGACTCGGAGGCCTTCTCGGATCAGGCCACTGCGTTCCATGCTCAGAGCTGCCAAGCCATCGATTCGATGAGCCGTGGTGGCGTCCACCTTTGCAGAAAAGAAGACCCGAGAGTTATGTGGGTGGTCTTTCCCACCAGACAAGCCCTGCGCTCTCGTTCAACACAACAGCAACCTGAACATTTGCACAAGAAGGATGCTTTTTTGGTTTTTAATTTAAATAAAGGATAAAGGGCTAAAGAAAGGATTCCTAGGGCCTGCTCCCTCCCAAGCCCGTCCCTCAGCTGGTTTGCTGCCTGCTCGTGTCTCACCTCGTGTTTAACTAGTATTTGGAGAACACGGAAAATGTTGATCCCTTTCGACTTCTGGCCCACACGTTAACACAGTCATCTATTAATGCTGGAATTTGCTCTTTCTCAGCAAAAATTATTTGCTGCCACCAACTCCCTTCCTCTCAGGGCCACCCTGATGCAGCCCCTCCCCTCGCCCCCAGCCCAGTTCTGGTTGGGGAGGGGTGTTCTCTCTGCCTTTCCTGGACAGAGGAAGGTGTTCTTTCAAAGGGAAGACCCAGGCTTGTTTCTAAAGCAACAAGGAGGCCATGGGTCAAACTGTGGTGACGTCCTCTTTTGACTTTCTCCCCCTGGTGCCTTTAGACACCGTCCTACTGTTTCATGTTTGACTGGAAAGATAGACCAAAGGGTCTAGATGGAGGCTGGTAACATTCAGCTGGAAGCTCTGGTGGAGCGTGCCATGAGTGTTGTCACAGGGAGCCCCAATAGTAAGTGGGCCCACTGATTTTGGGGAGCCCGCCCCTTCGGGAAGGCCTGACAAGAACTTCTGGGCGAACCTCCCAGCCACCTTCCTACCCAGTCCTGCCCTAAATCAGGGACAGCCCTTTAATGGTATGCAAAACAATGCACCATTGATTACAGATCACTGACAGGTACCGCGTCAACACATGGCCGTTAATCTCTTACCACAGTGTGGTTCAAAGGATTTTCTTCCCTCAGTTCCAGTCTGGCTTTTGAAGCATCCCCATCATTCCCAGGAATTTTCCTGTTGGAAAGGACACACCGACTTCATGAACACCTTCTCCAGCTGTGAGATTTCTCCCACCTTGAACAAATTCTGCTTTCTAAGCCCTAGCTGAAAGCCCCCGCCCCACTCAGGGGGTGTATGTTTAACTCGCTGGGTAGGGCCAGGTTTCGTGGACAGGAAGTCACCAACCAACCCATGTCTCTCATTCCTGGCCAACGGCAAAAAAGGGTAGACATTGAAGCAGTAGAATGGGCACTGAAGACCAAAGGTGGCCCAA